AATTAAATTTATCCGGTCAATCCCCGGGCGAATAATTATTACAAACATTCATCCATCAAATTCCTCGACATGTCTGAGGCTTTAAAAACAAATTTAAAACCATACATCACATTCATCAACATTCATCAAACACATAATCGGCCATAATAGTGGATTAAACTAATTCCTGCAAAACTGAGTTATGCGAATATAATCCAATATATGGCTGCGTTTGAACACATCTTGACAAATAAAGCCGTAAAAATTCAAACTTGTACATAACGAATTAAACCAAGCTCTGATTCCACTTGTTGGGATCAATGAAGATCTCGTTATGCACAAATCACGAATTCAATAGCAAAACGTAAACCTATGCGCAGCGGATCTAAAGGTTTGCGTAGAGAACTTATGACTTAAAATTTATGGCGATCTGGCTGATCTTCTGGATGGCCGTACACTGCACACCAACGAATTTTTGACTGCAAATCGCGTCCTAGGATTGCACGAACAAGATTGGATCAAAAACCGAATCAAACGAGTGCAAAATGGATGAAGATAAGTTGCAGTCCTGGGACCTTGCGGCGGCGCGTGTGGGCGCGTGGGTGGTTGGACGGCTGCGATCTCAGCGGCGTTGAAAAGCTCTCATCGAGACGGTCGTCTGGGTATGCTGCACGTCTTGATCGGACCTCCGGTGAGTTTTGTACGACCAAATATATTTCGTCTCACTTTACCCAAAGATCTTCTATTGTATATCTCAAACACCTCTTAATCTTGTACCAGTGGAACAAGAAGAAGAAGATAAAGCTCGAATGGGAACTGAGAGAGAGAAGAGAGGCATGGGGCGTGATTTCCAAGATGTGGAGTTCTCTTCTCTTCCCATGAGCTTAATGATGTATATATAGGATCCTTAGGAGATTAGGATTAGGGCTCCTTAATTAATTACAATACTTGTGGACCAAGCCACTTATTTTAATTAATTAAATAATATTAAATGGGCCACCAACATAATATTATTTCACTCCCCTTTCCTAGCCCAATTTACAATTGAGACTCCAATAATAATTACTCGATTTATCTCCCCATGTTTAAGATATAATGTCTATTAATTAATTCGATTACTGGCAATCAAGAATTAATTAATTTATTATTATTTCACCGAAGCTAGTGCTCGTTCATCACTATTACTATGCCGGAATTTAATCCACCTGCAACGTTTAGCATAATAATCCTTCATGAACTCACTCCGGGGACATCATCAAACTAACGCACATGGTGACTGCAAATATCCTAACAGCACAACCTACATGCAACAATATTACCCAAGACAGCGGGTCTATTGGCCCAGTTCACTAAGCCTCACCCATGTGAATCAAAGTGATAAATACTACATATATATGTATCTTTAATATCTTACGGGTTAAGAGTACGCAGTAATTAACCGAGGCCTAGTTCGTTTACGACGATCAGTATAAAACGAACTTCTCCTCTCTGGGATCATGTTCAATACATAAATGTACTTGTGCAACTAATCAGTCAAGACAAGCTGTACAATCACTACAACCGTTCGCGATGGGGTGTTCATGTCCATCTGGGTTGTGAACCACTTATTATTGTTTCGCGAGTAACTGATAGCATGATCTTCGGTTCGCCCGATGACGACCCAAATTATCTAATGCAAAACAACAGAACGTAGAACTTGTTTAACCTAACATGTTTCTCATTCATAAAGGGTAAAAGTGTAATATCATCCAAAGCCAAGCTTTCAGTATATAACACTAACAGTACATGTATAAATACAAAGCATATAATTATGCCAAACTAGTATTTGATCATGTGCACATGCACAAGAATTTAAACTATTTTAACTTATAGACTGTGTGTATTGTATAATTGTAAAATTATAAGTTAAATAATAGTATCACATTTTAAATATTTTGTCATTAGTAAAAATGAACATCATAAAAGTATTCAAATTCATCACTATAGTTATTTGTTGTTATCCAAGTTTTGGCGTCGCCTATTAAAATGTTACGCATGAATAAATATAAAGCAGTAGGTTCTTTTATCTGATTTATATTGACCGAGTTCCCAAAAGTCAAGACGGTCCACATGCAAAACCAATCAGAATTCAATGACGCCAGCTCGACCCAAATATCTCAAAGAAGCCACTTTGACAGACACGTCAAATTGTCCACAAGACACATGCAAATCGAAGTGCCAGTCAATCTGCCAGTCAATCCAATTATTTATTGTTGGGCTCTGTGCGGTCATATTTATTATTGGGCCCTGCGCGGTCATATTTATTATTAGGCCCTGCGCGGTCATATTTGATTAATTACATATGTATTGTGAAAGCTCATTAGATATACGGGCCCATATTAGCCCAAATATAAAGATGTATAAATAAGGCTAAGGAGATAAGTCTGAAGAAAAAACGATAATTTTTTCTCTCTTATGCGCAACAAATGAGGCGGTGTGTATGGGAGATTCTCTTTCCATCATCTTTGTCCATTTTCTTCCTTCAACAAAAAACCATGAAAACACAGTAAATTCAATATACAAAACATATAAAATAACACCAAAATATACAAAAATTCACTTCAATTCAATATTCGTACAATTCTCCGAATACCCCGTGTTGTTACAATTTCGCATAACAACATTATTATATAAAATAAAATCGATAATTATTTTCATTAAATTCAACTAATATATATATTGTACAACCTTGCATGAAAAATTTAAATTTGAATGAACCGGTGTAAAGTTCTCTATTACAAATGACTTTTCTTATATATATTTTGTGTCGTATCTATAGCATATCAATACTTAATACTTCTTTTGCATGTGAATAATCAACATACAAATTAAAAAATTATTTTTAATCTTTCAAATTTAAGGGTTTAAACATTATCTTCTAATCATGCAATTACATTCTTCAAATAAAGAGAAATAAAAGATAGTAAACGCATGCAACCGTTACAAATTAAAAATATAGTAAAAATAGGTGGATGATTGTATGTAATAAATTAAAAAAAAAATGTGTTGTAACGGTTTTTTTATGGAGGTCATAAAGTTTTTTATTAAACTCAACCTATTTTTATTAAATGACCTCATATTATTATTAATTGAAGTTGTATAAAATTAAATGAAGTTTGTCCCTAATTATATATATATATATATATATATATATATATATATATAGAGAGAGAGAGATAAACTTCTGAAGCATATGAGTTTGCCACATAGGCTCAGAGTATTCGAAATTATATATAGGGGTGATTTATAAAATTATCATTAATATCTTATGACAAGTTATTATAGGAATATGCTAAGAATTGAGAGTTATATCACTTTGATTTTATAACAAATCAACTAAAATTCAACGTTCATACTCATATCACATAAAATTCAGCTTATTTTACTTTCAAAATTAAATGCACTTCTATCCATACCAAATAAAATTTATATCATTTAAATTTGGACATTTCATTCTAAAATAAAACCGCCCTCATTTTATTAATCATAATGCTCAACTATTATTTAATTTTAAAATTTAGTGTCATATAATATAATTAAAATATTATCATACGACAAATTTCCAAAATGCATGAATTCATCTCTGCCAATCTATTATAAACATACTCATCCCAAAATCCACTATGCACAATTCAAACTTTGTTTCCACGACATCTGTAAAAAAAGATACAAAAGTATTTTTTTACCGACAAACAATGTCAAAAAAGTATTTGGGATTAGGTAATCAATGTTTTATATCATAAAAAATAAAATAAAATTTGAACTAGAAACGATTTTTGGAACCACAAAAACGGTTTATATTATTTGAAAATCGTTTTTCGGATGTATTTATCGTTTTTGAGATCCAATAAACCATTTTAAGGGATCCAAAAACCATTTATGGGATATTTGAATGTTTTCTGGCATACACGATTTCTGGTCCCAGAAATGACGTTTCTGGGACCACAAATGATTTCTGGTACCAGAAATAGTTTTTGAGATTTCTAGAACAAAAAAGGTTTTGTGGGTGGATTTTTGGGATTTCTGGTCCCAGAAATCAATTTGTGGGATATAGACGATTCTTGGGACCATAAATGATTTCTGAATCCAGAAAACCAGAAATGAGAAGTGATTTTGGTACCAGAATCGATTTCTGGAGCCATAAATGACTTCTGGAAGTAGAAAACCAGAAGATCTAGAAATCATTTCTCCTCGCAAAAATTGATTTTTTATAACTTTTTTTTTGTGCTTTTGGCAATATTTATGTGATTCATTTGAATATTGTGTTTTCTTTCAAACCGTTCTTCAATTTTTTTTAAAAAAAAATTAAGCGTACGAAATTGACCCATTAAAAAAATGATAAATTATAAACATACCATTTAGACTAATATTTCCGAGATATCACCGTAATTTCACCGGAACGTTGCCGTAATTTTGATAATATGGAGAGAATGAATTTTTTTTTTTTAATGAAATGAAGAGAATGAAATTGAACGAGGGAAGAGAGAGGAGAGCGATGAGAGAGAGATAGTAAAAAGTAGATTAGAAGAGAGCATTTTTTTTTTTTGGGAGAATATTTATGATTTTTTTAGAAAAATAGATAGTAAGAGTATTTTTGTCTTTTTAAGTGCCAAAATGGCTAAAAAAAGTTATTTTTGCCAAAAAAAACATGGCTAAAATTTGTGTTGCAAATTTTAAAATGGCTAAAGAAATTCTGTAAAAAATATCTAGTATTACTATTAGTACATCCCTTATAGCTGCTGGAGAATGAGTGCAGTGTTGTATAACACTTACAGAATTTCAAAATTAACGTTAGATAAGTAAAAATTGAGAACTTTAACAAGAGAAAGATACAGTCTATCATCTCTAACAAATATTTGAGAGAGAGTGAGAGAGAATATGATAAACTCAGGTAACATTTCTGATTGAGGTGATCGCAAGGGAGTGATATTCAATTTTATCAATGTCTTGTCAGCATGAAACATTTCATGCTTGATTTCACTTTATACTTGTTTAGTCTTGATCGGTTGATGCGAATTCCACTGCAACAGCATCCATACAATGGATGTGCCTGGAAATAAGAGAATTCAGATAAAATGTAAATGTCTATAGACTTAAGTATATAATAATTCAGAAGCTAATGGTGTATCTAAAATGCAACCAACTATAGCTTTGTGGGAGGGAAAGAAACTGAGCCTAGCATGATAATCGTGAATTCTTGATGATAATTTAAGCCTCAAGAACTGAAGTCTTCTTATCAGCAGAGAAGGTAAATTGTGATGAAAGCTTGAGCCTCAAGAACTAAGTACTAAAATTCGGGCAATAAGACATTGCAGTCTACCACCTAAGTAAGTTATAATTAAAACAAAAAACAGAACCGAAAAAGAAAAGAAAAGAAAAGAAAGATAACTACTTCCAAAACAGGCAAGAAACTCATAGGTCGATAGGAGAATAACTTACATGAGATTTCTTGAACTGAGAAATAGAGAATTTTTGTCAAAGGTAATTAGGTTACAATCCATGCATGAAAGACTCTTAATAATAATAATTGTGAGAGTGTTAGATATAATAGTGGCACCAGTAGTTAGCTGTAGTATCCAAATATAAACGGTAAGTCAATCAACACTTTTTTGTTTATAACAGTTCATTATTTAAGCTGCAATACCTGCAAAAATGCTGACAGTTGTCAAATTTCCAATAGCCATGGTGTGGTAAATCAGATACTCCGTCAAAAAATGGCCCAAGGCATAGACGAATGATAGGAAAGTGGCTAGATATATAGGCTTGTTCCCGAGGTTGAACGCACAAAGAACGCAAAGGGTGCAAGTCAAAAGAGTCCAAACTCCAAATGTACGTCCATGAACTTCAGTCACTACAGAGAAATATAATAAAGAATTGAAATCCCAATTATAATACTCAATTCGAACGAGGAACTCTAGCAATCAATAATATGACATGCAATAAAGAAAATGAGTAATAGCTGGAGCCTGGATGTCTTACAGATGCTCATATGAAAACCCTCTTCAAAAAAATTTGATCATTTAATTTCTATGGTTTAGCAGGTCCACATAGCTACTGCAAGTTCTGCCGAATATATTAAAGATAAGCAGTTAAAAAAACGTCCATTAACAATGACAAAAACTATATCCATTATATAATAAAATTACCTAAGACAACATGCTAATAACCAGTTTTACACACAAATGGAAAATATAAACTGGTAAAAACAAGTTGCAATCATGGTTTGTGATTCAAGTACATGAACCTTTCTCCCCTGCTTAATTGCTGAATATTCATATCCTAAATGCCTCCAGAGTATAGCCTTCATTTGGATACTATTACAACTACCAACAGGCTACATTATGCAAAATAAGCCCGCAAAAATTTTTCAGCATACATCAACATCAACATCAACATACCCAGTATATTCCCAACAGGTTTTTCAGTATAGTTCTTTAATAAAATATACGAGTAAGAAATACCCACTTCCATTTGGGTGTGACGAAGGCAAATCGTGTTCTACAAAGTAGCTTATAGATCACGCCAAGTTGGTAAAAAGAACTTAGGCAATCCTTATGACTCGGGTTTAACCGACTGCGCAGAGATGAAAATTCAAACTTGAGCTCTTTTGCATCAAAAACCCACATAGCTCCACTAAAACAAGAAGCTAAAGTTTCAGTACTAGCAAACTCACCGAAAATTCTTAAACTTATAAATTCATAATTAAACTCAATGTAATCTTTCAGCTACACTTCATGAAACAATGCCAACATCAAAGAGTAAAAGCCTCAAACTTGAGATAAATTGAAGGGGCAAAATGAAACACCAGCAAACTCCATGTCGAAAATCCATATATGACATACTATTTCAGTATTTATTGAGAGTAACTCCATTACTCAATTAAGAATCATACACCATTTACACAGCGGCATTAAGCGCATTTTACTTGTGACAGTGCGAAAATAGGCGAATCATATATATATCGATTTGGATCTAACCAAACTATAAACATATCACAAAATCATGTGCAAATGCGTAATGAGTTCGAAAAAAACATAAAAATCATCGACCTCTGTATACAAGATTTGACTACTTACTGGGCGTTTGGGAGAAAACAGCGAGACGAAGGGCCCAAATGTCGAAAAATCCGAACCAAACAGAAGCCAATCGAAGCGTGCCCACAAGCATCAACCACCATCCCAGCAACTTCATCGTGGCTACAGCTCCTACACTGCACTTCTTCTTTTGCACTGTGATTTCGTAGGCTTAGATTGTTTTATTTTTTTTGGTAGCCACTCACGGTATCCGGAGCGTTGCTCGACTAATCCGTTGGTCGACTCGGAGCCCTAATCACCGTATACCACCAGCTTTCGAGTTTTTTTCCGGTCGGAATCTGGCGCCTCTGTAATTTCGTTTGTGTTGGCTTCGATTGTTAATGCATGACACGCAGCATTTGTGAATAACTATAGATGACTCCATAAGTCGTCGAACCATACGATGGCTGCATAGCAAATCCGAATGGTACATGGAGTTAGTACACAGATCTTTGTTAATAAGTTTAAGAAGAAAAAAAAATAGAATTAAATAAATATTAAAATTTAAAAAAATATATAATGTGAGTTTGTATTTTTATTTTATTAATTTTATAGATAGTAATAAAAAAATATATTACTATTTTCTATTTAAAATAACATATAATACTACACAAATATCTTTATTTCTTTTGTAACTGTATATGTGTAATATCGATGTCACATAAATTAATTAAATTCTGTCAAAAGATAATTTTACGTAAAAATTTATAAGGAATTAAAAAGCTTTTATGTTTTAGAATATACTTTTGATTTAACTTATTCGATTGTTGATCACTCGATTTGATCAACCTCAAAACACCAATTTATATCTATATAAAAAAGATTTGATTATTTTTAAAATAGTAATTGTTTCTGCCAAAAAATATTTTATTACTAAATTAAAAAATCTTATAGACGTACTTGTAGACTTTTCTTTTCTTTATATTTGAAATTATTGTTCATATCTCTTTGATTGCTTGTTTTAAACTTATTTAAGTATGGAATTTAGAGGTCATTCAAGTGTATCTAGTAGATACTATGTTTACATGTGGATCTCTACGTAATAAATGCTTTTTTCCTAACTGATAAAGATCGAACAGTTTAAAGCACCCACAATGCTTTTTGGGTCTTTTAGAAAAAAAATTACATGCCATGTAGGAAATAGACATAGTCTATAAAAAAATATTTCACAATACAATTAAAAGTGGACCTAGTCTAACTTATGTGTCACTAGAAAAAAGAGACTAAGTCTACACTTGGGTCTATTTTGGACCCAAGTGCAAACCCACCTAGTCATTAATTGTTCACAATTTTTTTTCTTTTTTTAATAGGCAAAACACATTTTTTTTTGCATGCATTTATTATTACTATATTTTTATTGGTTGTTTAGTATTATAGACCTAGTACTTTTTTGTGTTGAATTGGATAGATTTTGAGTTTTTTAGCTTGAGTTTGTCCATGTTATTATGGACTTAAGTCTATTTATTTGCCACATATGCAAAAAGAGACTCAAAGCATTGTGGGTGCTCTTAGATCCTGAACCGTTCTTCAAAAGGCACGATATCTAAAGCCAATGAAAATGCTTTTGAATTCAGAGGCGGAATTACATAGTGGCCCGTAAGGGCACGGGCCCATGTAGAACGTTTTGAGTAATATAGTATATATATGTTATATATATTAAAATAAAAAAATACATATTATTAATTATTATGCAAAATTATTTCAACATAAAAAATGAAATGTTTAGAATTATTTAACCTTCAATAGTGTGTTATTTTCTAAGTTGTGGAATTTATGTTTATGTTATACTCAACTTCTTGTTTATTTCTTTTTCCCTGACAAAATATATAAAAAACAAATATTCAACATAAATATATATACCAGGATTGGATCAAATGTGTCCCTATTCTTAAAATGAATGTGAGACTCAATCCTAGCTATTGAATAAAAATTAAGGTGTTTGGACAAGATTTAATCTTTTTATTTTTATTTTTAATTGGTTAAATACAGATTTAACTGTTGACCTCCAACATTGACCGTGATCATAGTTTGTGCTCCCGTTGTCCTTGAAGTCTACGTCTGCCCCTGTCTAAGTTGATGAGATCTTTTTAGAAAATTCTTTTTTTTTTCTAATTGGAAAAAAATATATATTTCAACTTTGTACTTTGCCATTTGCATTTAAAA